CTGGAACTGGATTCTCGTTTAGAGGAGAATCTGGCACTCCACCCAACTGGATTTCGTTGATTTAGGAGTCCCCCTCCCAAACACTCTGCTGTAACAGAGCAGTAATCTTCACATGCTGTTCATTAGCTTTGTGTAAGATTTCGAAAGGCTTATAAGTACTTTGAAAGCTGAGTTCATTACTGGTATTGTGAGACTGGAGAAATAGACGGTCAGGTGAATTTTAATAATATTTTTCCTCAGAACTGTTGCATTGTAGGACAGGGGCTGAATGCTGCGGTAAGCTAGGGCAAGGCATACCATGAATTGTGCATTGTGTACACCTCAAATCCATCGCCATGGGTTAGATTATGATCCATATGATAAAACACAACATGCATGGAGCCAGATTGTCCAAGGTGGTCGAATGGATTCTGTCCTTCATTGTTTACTCTCTCACCATAAAATTTCATCCTCCACAAACTTGCCAAGAAAGAATGAAGAGTAAATGAAATGGCTAGCATCACGCCCTGCCAAGAGCATGTTGTACTATGATCATGATTTGTTGTCCATGAAATTAACTTTTTGTCCATGAGAGTAACTTTTAAAAATTGTCCATGAGAGTAACTTCTTAAAAGAGAAATCTGGGCTTTTTTATCATGGGAATGTGAAAGGATTCACCTTGGAGTTCCCCCTCCAGTGTTTATATTAATATTATCAAGTAAATATTCTGTTTAAAAATGCTTCTTTGTGGTTTTAAAAGACTTGTAAAAAGTTTTGGAGAAAGTTCTGGAAAATCAGGGGTTTTTTTTAACAATCAGCATCTCCAACTCACTGTTGTAAGTTTGTGTTTGTTTGTTTTTTTTAAATGGACATTTAATTCTTAAACCATTCATACCACAGTAGTGCTAGCACTATGACACCAAAGAAGATGGTTGCACCACTGGTGTCATTAAGTCCAAAAAGTGAACAGTTGTAAGAAATCGTTACATGTGTATCCTTTCCCGAATTGTACTGTGGCTTGATTTTCAGTAACGGAGATAACTGAAGGAAGTAGATCCAGATGGGTCGCTGTGTTAGTCTGTCGGCAGCATTAGAAAAAAGCAAGAGTTCAGCAGTACCTTAAAGACTAACAAAATCTGTGGTAGGGGATGAGCTTTCATGGGTCACTCAAAAAGCATCTGAAGAAGTGACCAGTGACTCTTGACAGCTCATCCCCTACCACAAGCTTTGTTAGTCTTTAACGTGCTACTGGATGCTTACTCTTTTCTACTGCTTAAGGAAGTAATACAAAACGAGGAAATATGATCCCTTTGAAATGTTTCTGAGCTTCCAATAAAAGTTCAGTGACATAACTCAGCAGTTGCACGGTGGTGCCAGCTCATGTATCTTGAACTGACGCCGCTTCCTCGTTTTGAATGTGTCACATTCAAGTGGCTGCAAGCAAGGTCTGAGAGCATGTGGTGCTCTTATTTTATTCAAGGGCAAGCAAGTCTCAACCCGCTTAACATCTGGATGGAAAAAAACCACCCTGGAGTCCCACGGAACCCACTTGGCTACTCCAATGGAGGAACATGCTAGTTGATAGCATCAGCATGTTTCCGTGATGCTGATGTCCGGGGTTTCGTTGCAGCTTTCTGCGGAGCGGCAAAGAATGACTAGGACTGCAGAAGCTCACAATGAAAGAAGGAGTTGCATAGTCAGACTTGTGAGATACAAGCCCAGAGACTGAATAGCTGAAAGGCATCAGCATGATGGGAACATCAGGATCGTCTCATTGTTGGAAAGTGATCGCTTTCATAGATTAGCTGGCTTCTCCCCCCCCTCCTCCCCCCCGCTTCTCCAATCTATTGGAAGACTTGATAGAACCCTACTCAAGGACCAATTTCTTTTCTCATAGCAATCGGAAAAATCTAAAAGGTGTTTGCACAATTTGTTTCGTTTCCAAGCATTCCTGTCACTGCATGCTGCCAATAGTGTGAGTCATTTGCACCTGAGGCTCACTTAAGAATATCTGTTATTGTGCATTAATATTCTTTGGAACGACACTTCAGTTGCATGGGCAAGCCTAGATTGTAGCAAGGGGGTGCTCTAATCTTGAAAAACTGTAGGAGCTTGGGAGAGCCTTACTTCTTGGGTGTTCTCGGCAAACCTCTCCTGCTGTCCCTTCTGGCCATTTCTTCATCCAGTGCGGGAAAGGCCAACACAAAATTATTAAAAGTCAAAATCAAATCTGACCACTGAATGCACACATACACTATACATTTGGGTTTGAAATTCTTACTGCATTTTGAAGCTGCTGTGAAGGGTCTGAGCTCAGTGGTAGGGCGCATGTTTGGGATTGCTCAATGGTGGTCCATTGACCAGTTCGTAAGCATCTTCAGAGCTCTGGTGTGTGTGGAGCATTCTATAATATTTGATCCAGTTTAGGGCCATGTACACATCAAAATGTGCACACAGGGCTCTGGAGCATGGCTGCAGTACTTCAGAGAGTACATTGAAAAATTAAAAATTGCAGTGCATAAAGAAGGAAGTCCTTGAAGGTAAGGGAGCTCCATGTACTCATAGGAGCCCTTGAAAGGAATTGCTAGACTGGGGGAAACAGAGTGGTTCCCCATGGTCCACATGTATCTCAGAGTCCCTGAGTACTTCCCAGACATCAGATCTTTGACAGCCTCAACATTTTTCATAAAGGACAAATCTACATATAAAGCTCTGAATTGTTTTTCTCCAAAAACATTGTTGAGTATGTACTGTAAGTACATTTTAAAATATCAGAATATAATTAATATTTATGGTTTTGATGGAATCAAAGTATGTGTAGATTCACCGCTTTGCTCTTTAGATACATTAACATTGCTGAAAAATGCATGTGGATTTTTTTTAAAAAAATATTCTTGAGGATACAGACATGTTTGGGCATTCCTTTTTATTATTAGAGTAGGAGATTCTAAACCTTAAGCAGTTTTTTTTGATACATACATCCATATTTCACCCCATTTGGCACATGTAGTTATTTTATATTAGGGCGTCTGCCAGTTTAGTAACAAATAAAATTTGTGTTAAATACAGAGCTGTCATTTGGAACTTCAATTATTTAAGGGAATTAGAAAAGATAATGACAGGAATGGGGAAAAAAAGCATACATGGATATTGTTTTCTTGCCCGTGTTGTTGGGAATTCTGCAGGCTTTAGTTTCTGACAGTCTTTTGGGTGATGGACGTTTTGGAGATAATTTTCAGACCAGAGGAGCTTCCTGTCCCAAAGCCTTTTCCACTCCCAGAACTGAAATTGCTTCCTCCAAAGCTTAACCCACTACCACCTCCACCACCGTAACCACTTCCAAGGCCAAGGGCACTTCCAAAGCTACTGCTTCCAATTCCACCACCACCTCCAAAACTCAAGCCACTTCCAAGGCCAAACCCTCCTCCACCAAGACCACCAAACCCTCCCCCTCCTCCAAGACTGCCATAACCTCCTCCTAGGCCAGCTCCACCACTGCCGACACCTCCAGCACTGGAACTGACAACAGCTGTAAGGAAACACAGACTGATTAGATGCCTAATAGGACTGTCTTTGTATGTTCTATAAAGATTAAAGAAATGGTCCAATTGGGTGGCAAGATTTGCTGTTTTAGCCCATTGGTCTTCTTCATTGGTTTGTTTCATGTTGGTCTGCAGTAAAACAGCAAGATTCGAGTCCAGTAGTATCTTATAGATCAGGTATCTGAAGAAAGGGGGCTTTCACTCTCAACAGTTGATACCCCCCAAATTTCATTAGTCTATAAGGTGCTACTGGACTCAAATTTAGCTGTTCCAGTGGTCTATGTATTTCAACCATGTATCTGGTCAACTGTGGCAATTGTAGGCCACTGTGATGCCTTTGGGGTTCCTCTGGTCCTGTCATTGTGTCAGGGAATCCCAGTGCATACTTAGCACCTTGTGACCATGTTGCTATCTGCACTTCACAAGACTGAGCAGAACCAATGGCGTCTCTGCTTCAGTGACTGCATATGACAGGCATTCAATTTTTTTTCAAGCACACTTCAGTTCCTTTCACCACACACTAGTGTACACCAGCACAGTCAGCCACATATTAATGTAGTTCTGTGTATTAATGTACTATTGTTGGCCGCACGGACAAGTAGATAAACAAAAAGAAAAGAACAAATATATTCAAGGTACTTACAGATGCTCACTGGACTGACACCCTCTCCACTAAGCCTGTTGAAGAAGGAATTTAAAACTGAATAAAAGCATGTCCGTTGGCCACAGTAAACATGGGATGCCACATCTTAAGGCTGACTGCTGACATGGGAATTCTAGTACCAGTAGTCACTCACAGCTGTTGTCTCACATTGCTTTCCCTGGTTGTCTGATGCCTGACCCACATGTCTTGACCATCATTTCCCAAGCTGCAGCCATTTTAAGTTGCATGTGCTACACATCAGCTTAAAAACCCTCCACATTATTTATTTATTTCTTCAATTTATATCCCGCTCTCCCCCACTATGGTTGGGCTCAGAGCAGGTCACAACATATAACAGGCAAAATTATAATAAACTGAAAAACATACCAGTTTAAAACAATTTCCAGATATTTATGATTTATCAGATGGCACCTAATAATACTATAACGCCCCAGAGAAGAGGAGAAAGAAGAGGTAGGAGAATCTGTGTGGTGGATATTCCCTTGACCTTACCCATATACTTGGTAGTACATTTCCATTTTACAGACCCTGTGGATTTGTTTATTTAGGATATTTATCTGCTTGAAGTGGCTTTACAAATAAAAATACAATAAAACAATAAAAGCACCACAAATTATTAATATTGAATTATTAATTATTAATATTAAAAACAAGCCAGAGGCATTTAAAAAGCATAAAATAATCATTGTGCCGCCTAAAAAAATTCCATGAAACAAACCTCAGGCTAGAAGCCAACCATTAGATACCTACAAAGAGATAAACGCAGATCCTTTGTGAATCCCAGGTGGAAAGAAATGTTTTGGCCCAGAGTCTAAAAGACAGTATGGAAGGCGCCACACATGAGGCATCTCCATGGATACAGCAACACAAAGGAAAATACGTCTGACTCAGAATGACTGACTGGTGCTTCATATTGACATCTTTTGCACAAGTGCAAAAAAAAAAAAGAAAAGGAAAGGAAAAGGAAAAGGAAAGGGACAGGACAGGACAGGACAGGACAGGACAGGACAGGACAGGAAAGGAAAGGAAAGGAAAGGAAAGGAAAGGAAAGGAAAGGAAAGGAAAGGAAAGGAAAGGAAGCATCGCTCCAAGGAATTAATAGTGCACACAGAAAAAGGTAAACTCAGTGGGGATTATCAAGATGAAATAAGAGCATTTCAGGTGTAAGAAGCCACCATCTGTCTGGAATTTGACTAGCTTTATGATCTGGAAGAGAGGCTTCATAAAGAGGACAGCTTATCTAACTTACAAACTATTGTCGTGTCAGGGTTTTTCCATTTTCATAGATAACCTCTACCTTCAACACCCTGTATTCCTGTCACTTCTCAAAATAACTCTTGGAATAAAAAACATTTTTAATCCACTCTGAGTAGGCCTGAAGTGATGGTACAAGAGGCCTGAAGTGATGGTGCAAGAGCCAGTGTGGTGTGATGGTTAAGAGTGGTGGACTCTAATCTGGAGACCTGGGTTTGATTCCCCACTCCTCCACATGAAGCTAGCTGGGTGACCTTGAGTCAGTCACAGTTCTCAGAACTCTCTCAGCCCCACTTTACTCACAAGGTGCCTGTTGTGAGGAGAGGAAGGGAAGGCGATTGTAAGCCACTCTGAGACTCCTTTGAGTAGTGGGGTATAAAACCAATTCTTCTTCTTCTGCTGCTGCTGCTGCTGCTTCTGCTTCATCTCTCTTGAGGAGGGACTTCTAAACCGTATGAGAAGTGATATACTTTTTATGTTTTAAGGCAGTGGTCTTCATCCTACTATTCAGGAATCTTCAGATGAGTCATACAGCACCTCATGTTGGGAGGGCCAGTTTGGTGTAGTGGTTAAGTGTGCAGACTCTAATCTGGGAGAACCGGGTTTGATTCCCCACTCCTCCACTTGCTCCTGCTGATGTGACCTTGGGTCAGTCACAAGCTCTGGCACAGCTGTTCCTGAAAGTTTGTGTCAGAGTTCTCTCAGTCCCGCCTACCTCACAGGGTGTCTGTTGTGGGGAGAGGAAGGGAAAGGAGTTTGTAAGCCGACCTGAGAGTCCAAGTGAAGGGTGGGGTATAAATCCAATCTCTTCCCTCTTCCTCTTCCTCCTCCTCTTCCTCCTCTTCCTCCTCTTCCTCCTCCTCCTCTTCCTCTTCTTCCTCCTCCTCCTCTTCCTCCTCTTCCTCCTCTTCCTCTTCCTCTTCCTCCTCTTCTTTCCTCCTCCTCCTCCTCCTCTTCCTCCTCTTCCTCCTCTTCCTCCTCTTTTTCTTCCCCTTCTTTTTCTTCCTCTTCTTCTTCTTCCTCCTCTTCTTCTTCTTCTTCTTCTTCTTCTTCATATGCCCTCAGAGATCTACCATTTTTTCCACTGACTTTTGGAAGAACCTGCTCTACAGAATGCAAATATACATGCTGAGAACAGCCGGATGATGAGGTAATGTTAAGTGACAAAGAATATTTTTCCACTGCTCTGCCCCTTGGCGTGTTCCTCACTATGGTACCACTTGTGATGTTTACCTTATTTTTTTGTCCCCAGCTCTTTTGGTCCACTGCTCATTGTCCTGGCCTTGACACTGGCATGGTATTTTCTCTGGCTCCTCCTCTTCCTCTCATATGACTGAAAAGTTCTATGACTTCCTATTATGGGCTTGTAGCTCAATGGGTCCCATATTTGGTGGTCCCAAGCTCTGGAAAGGCTGAAAATCTCTGCTTTAATATACTAGAATTCATTGACATCACAAGAATATATGAAGCTGCCTTATATTGAATCAAACCATAAGTCCATCAAGGTCAGTTTTGTCTACTCAGACTGGTGGCAGCTCTCCAGGGCTTCAGGCTGAGGTCATTCACATCACCTTCTACCTGATCCTTTTAACTGGAGTTGCCAGTGATTGAACTTGGGATTCTTCGTGTGCCAAGCAGATGCTCCACCACAGATCCACAGCCTTAGAAGGAGAATTTTCAGCTTCCCAAACAGCCATTGAACTCACCCCTTCTTCACACTACAGAACTTATAAATGAGATTGGTTTAATGTCAAAGATGTTACCCTCATTACTTGTGTATGGTCGCACCAAGTCAGAGTTTAATTCCTATGGGTAGCTGTGTCCATGGTGGGTCTTTCAACATAGAGTGTTTTCTGACTGTTGCAATATGTCTGTAGCAATAGCTGCATTCAGCATTGATATTAGCCTTTGCACACCTACCTGCTCTCTTCTCCTTCCAGCAGCTTTCTGTATGTGGCAATCTCAATATCAAGGGCCAGTTTGACATTCATCAGTTCCTGGTACTCCCGCAACAAGCGAGTCATCTCTTCCTTGGCTTTCTGCAGCGCATCCTCCAACTCAAGGAGCTTGGCTTTGGCATCTTTGACAGCCAGTTCCCCACGCTCCTCAGCATCTGTAATGGCAGTCTGCAGACTGGCACACTGTAAGAGTAAAGGGCGTTATTCTATTTCTCCAGTTCCTTTTTTGTCATTCATTTTTTTTTTTTTGAAAACAATCATCAAAGTTTATTCAGAATATAATATACATAAAAAGAGAAGAAAAAGGTTATAAAGCAATAAGTTCTTAAAACATATACAATTAAAAGATTGTATCATTGAACATATTCAAAAGCATAGCTCATAATACACTAAAGGAAAACCATCAAAAGGGAAATTCTACTAAGGGAAAATAATCTTCATAATAGCTCTATCGATCACAGTTATGAACCATATAGTATAAGTTGATGTTTTGCAGTAGAAATTGTTTCCCACGTAAACTTGTCAATTGCAATCTTGTCTAAAATCGGATTCCATTTATTCAAAGGGTCATAAAATTCACACTCATTTTGCCTTTCAGAGTTGTAAATAGAAAACTTTTCTAACAGAAACAAATCCCACACTTTATGTAGCCATTGAATAGGAGATGGAACTTTTGCATCTTTCCACCGCTGTGCAAGAACCATTTTAGCGGCTGTAAGTAATATATTTATTAAATTTTTAACTCTCGAAGTATATGCAACAGGTGGCCATAAGTTTAACAAAATTAAAGTTGGGTCTAGTGGTATACTATATTACTACTGTTTCATTTTTGTTTGAGTCTTTGAAGAAATTAGGCTACAAACCTAGGCAGTAAGTGGGACTTACATCTGAGTAAAATGTATGGACTTGCTAATTGGGGGATCTAATTGATTTTTTTACAACATATATTGAAGGATTAAACTTAAAGAAATTGTGGTCTGCTCTAATGGTGGCTTTCAAATTTCCTACGCTCAGAAACCTCTTCCATTATCGGTTTTATTGCTGTGGAACCTTTATACTTTGCAAAGAATTATGGGGACAGTTTTAGCATCTGCACAGGCTGTATTCACACGTTGTTGGATATTACTCTATAGCTATCATTTACTGCTGGTTTCCCTTGCCCATACTAGGAAAATCAATTTGTGAATGATGTCTGTAATGCAACAATAGTGCAATATCCAATTATATGGGGATGCAGTCACAGTATGTTTGTCAAGCTTCTTGTGAGTTTCCCCACAGATCATCAGAGGTCATCTTAAAACTCACTTGCAATTGGCCAATACAGAGGATGTCTGTTAACAGTGAACAACCTGCTTTAATCCACCCTTATAGATATTTGTGAGAGACTCCTGTTGAGCTTTTGATGAGCCCCAAAGTTCCTTGAGATGCCATTTAAAAATTACTGCTCAAATCTTGGAGCAGTACAGCATCCATACTGACATTTCTATATGAGACTGAAATTTCTAATGCTGGACTTTACTTCTGCAAAGATCAGAGTCCCCGACTATTTCTTTTGTTTCCAGTGCAGAAACTATTCAAGCTTAGTGGACCTTTTGGGCAGGACATTCCTTGGATGTCTGCATTGATATCCTGGGTTCTGAGTGGTTTCTAGATCCAGGTTTCCCTTGCGTGCCCCTCCAGCACAAGCAATATTAACGTCACTATCACTGCCAATGAGGAAAAGACTCTTCCTGGACAGTGAAGGATACCACTAAGTCTTGGAGGAAAAATCAATGGATAATTAAACTGCAGAATTCACTGTCAGCGGTCCTAGTGGTATCCACAAGTGTAGATTGCTTTAAAAGGCAGTTAGACAAATTGATGGAGGAGAGGTCCATCAGTGGCTACTAGCCATGGTGAGTAAGGACAGCTTCCACATTCAGAGGCACTAAGCCTCTGAATACCAGTGCTAGGAGACAGCATCAGGGAAAGCCTTGGTCTCTATGCCCTGTTTGTTTTGCCTTCCCAGGAAACTGCTTGGCCACTGTGTGACAGAGCATGCTGGACTAGATGGACTCAGCTTATGTTCTTTATGTTGTTATCTCCTGTATCCACAAAGATGGGCCCCAGAACTGGTGCCATAAAGGCGTATTTTCAGAAGTTGGTAACAACTCTCTGTATACCACTACTGGTGCACGTACGGGAAAACGAGACCAGCCTTTGATGTCATCATTTGTCCACCAGAAGAAACAGAAGAATATAAAAAGAACATTGCTGCAT